GTGGGGTGGGGTGGGATCGCGGCCTTGCGGCCGGACAAACGGGTTGCGGTGGTGGGATGAAACGGGCCGGGGGGCCTGGTAGAGTCGCAGCTGGATTTTTGGCCGCGCTACGCACCACCCAGTATCGAGGACGTGCAGCGAGAGAAACTGTCCGCGCAAGCGGTAGCAAGCTGCTGGTCTCGTCTTGTCCCCCCTCGTGCTCCCTACCCCAGTCCCCTCGACCCTCACATGCCTGTTTCTCCCCTCCTCTTCCCTGCCCTGCCCTCCCCTCCCTCCTCTCTCTTGGCTACCTGATGGCTACTCTCACCCCCACTCTTCCCTCACCCCACCCATCGACCTGCCCTCCTGATCATCTCAACACCCGCATCAAGGTGGCTGGTGTGCGGGTGTTCCACCAGGGCAACGACCTGGTTGATGCGAAGATCATCCTGGCAAACGGCTCCAGCGCCGACATCGACCCCAAGGTGGGGCGCGGCCTGTAGAAGAACAGGGTGTCACCTGCGACTGACGACAGGCGCAAAGCAAACCGCAGCAGCTCCGCCGATCGCCGCCTGCCCCGCCTCGCTGCTGTCTATGTTGGGGCACTGACACGCGGCACACGGGCCCCCGCTGTGCAGCAGCCCTGCAATTACATAAGCAAGGGTCAAGGAGCATAATAAACTTCAAAGTCATCTGCCACACGTGCTGCGTTCTTTGAAACAGGCCAAGTACAACGTGGCAACCCTGGACTACATCTCAAACGGCGGCGACGGGTTCTTCGATTTCAAGGAGGCGCCCTCCCTCCTGCTGAACGGCAACGAAGTTGGGGACATCATGATGCACGACCTGGAGAAGGCCATGCCCAACCCGGTGAGCCCTGAGGGTCCCCTTGTCGGGTCGTTTTTACTCGCAGTGAAAGTTTGTTCCTGCTGCCATGACGATTTCAGCCGGCCCGGACTGCTGCAGAGGACTATTTGAAGGACATTTCTTTGCTTGATCAGCTGGTCATCTCGGTACACCTTACGCTGTCCACCATATGTCCAAACTGCTCCTATGCTAACCCATTGTCGCTCCATCCGCTTATACTGCACCCCTTCACCCAGATCAAGGTTCCTGATGTTACTAAGACGCGCCGCATCATCAACTGCGCCGCGGATTACGTCAGCTGCGCCAACCCTTTGTACGCCCCCTGCTGCAAATCGAAGCAGGGTGCCAGCAAGGCGGCCCCATCTCCATCCCCCAAGCCGAGCGCGCGCCGCTGAGCAGCCGACCGCTGCCTGGCGACGGCGGAGTCGCGCCGCTGCTCGTGCTGCGCTCTGCTGAGCCCGTTGTGGCGCATGAGGCAGGCGCTTCGGCCCAGGGTGCTAGCTGTGCTCTGCTGGCCAAGGCTCAGCGGTCAAACAACGTGCTGCATCTATCGAAAAGCGTAGAAGGTCAGTTGGTTTCCATAGCATGGTTATTCTTGGGACTCTGCGATCTGTTTGTTGGTACGACGCAATTTTTGAGGTGGAAGCACTGCACTCGACCTGACCACGCATGCATGTATACGTATGCAGGTTTCTGTTCATGTACCGGCAGCTTCCCTTGTTGCTGCCGCGACTGCACTGCGGCGTATGACAGAGCACGTGGGGTTCATGCTTGCGCGCCCGCCGCGCGCGTGTGACTTGGATTGTGATCATGGTGCATTGCTGCACTCAAAGAGGCAAAGGGAGGGCGCATCAGTCGCGTTTTTTAGCCCACAAGGTGGTGGCTGTCACAGTGACTGACCATACCGGCGGCTCTTCGAACAACCAACAAGGTTCCCAAGGCATGTGCTGTTTCCTGCGCTCTTGCTTTTGCATGCTGGGCGCCTCGCTTGCAGGCCACTGCATTCAGCATGCAACTTGCTGCCTTTATGAGCTTCAACGCCATGCATGGGAGCATGAGAACATATTGTAAAGAAGCTCACTTGTCAACATATGCCTGTCTTAGCAAATCTGGCCCAGGGTGCCGTCAACCGCGGTCAAACCTTGGTCTCGGCAAGCTGTTGAAACTTGGTTGCCGCCAAGCTGAGGGTATGCCCGTGAGTGTCACAAAACCAGCAGGAACATGGTGACACATTGGTGACATGGTGCTAGTTGCAGGCAAATTGCATAAAGATTGAGGTGGATGGGGACCCAGGGAAGTCCTGGGGACGAGAGTGCAGCGGTGAACAGGACCCCGATCAAACTACGTCTTGAGGCAGACACGCACGCACGCAAGCAAAGGTGTCTGGTGCACCAGTCAGGCTCCGACTTAGCAGCTAAGACAGCTGGATCGCATCATGCGTGTTGAGCTAAGTTGCCCAGTTTAGGGGCTGCAAATGGCTCGTAACAAACAGCAGACGAGCGGTGACATCATCACTGCTATAAGAGGAAGAGGGGCATGCCTCAGGTGCGGGAACGTGTGAAACAGTCAGTGGGACGTTGTGCAAGGAGGGCAGGTTTCGGGCTGATCAACACGCATGCACCCGTTAGTGGTAAGCTGCAACAAGATGCACCCATACACAGAGCACCAGCAAGTTTTGGAGGGGAGTGGAGCGTCACGCGGCCAACCCAGCCTGGTATTGGGGCCAACAACTCTGTGCGGTTTGAACTGCAGTGTGTGGTGACGTCTGCGGCTGACCAGCAGGCCGAATCCTGCAAAGCCTGGCCTCTAGATCATGATCGAGGGAACCCTCCAGCAGCAGAGAGGGGTGATACGGCTTATGCGACGGAGGATAGAGGCAGCGGAGCGTAGGTGCAGCCACTCCATTGAACGCGTGCAAGCGCAGCAGAGGCTCGAATTGCGGCTGCCTTGGGCAGCCTGAAGAGTGCCTGCTGCAGAAAATGGCGAGGGACACCAGGCGCGCGGCGCCGGCGTCTGATGCTCAGAGCGGTGCGAAACCAGGCAGGCGGCTGCGCCAGCCAGCGCGCCGTGCGTGCTGATGGCGGGCTCCCTTGCCCATCCAAAGGTGGCGTCGTGCATCAGGGTGGCGTCAGGTCGGGCGGCGGCGAGGGCAGCTGCCTCAGCATCGCCTCCAGGCGCTTGAGCACGTCGGCCGCGCTGGGGCGCTCCCTGCGTTGGAAGGTTAAACAGGGATGTTACACAGAAATAAAGCCGGCAGAGATGAATCACGGGCCTGGCTAACAGTACCTGTGTGTGTTGGGTGCAGGTGCTCAGCTACCGTGAAAATCAGAGCCCGTCGCTGCATTTACCCTGCAGAGCATATCTTAATAGGCCGCAATGGATGCCTTTGCATGAAGACGCACCTGGGGTTGCGGCGCCAGCAGGCCGTCACCAGCTTCCTGACAGCTTCTGGCGCGGGGCAATACCTGTGTGTGTGGTGGCGGACGACCATGAAGGCAAAGCCGAGCAGTCTTGCGGGGAGCAAAGGAGCCCCTGCCCTTCAGATGTCGGGGCCCACGGCAGGCAAGGTAGCCATGCAGCCAGCTGTGCAGGCGCCCGCGGGGCGAAACAATAACGGGGGTGCAGGTTCAAACCAACAAGAGCAGCATCATCACTCCATGTGTGGATTATATGACGGGGCCCGCCTGCACAGTCTTGCAAGGCGTAATACAAGTGCTGCAGCGCTCACTTGGGCCAGGGGGGCCGCCTGTCGCATTGCACCACCTGGCGGGGCAAGAGGGGGGGTGTGTGAAGGCAGGGGGCGTGAAGAGCCGCGCTGCAGTGTGAGCGCAAAGCATTCCTGCAGCAGGGCGCATGCTGCAGGAGCAATGAACGCTGGGTGTTGCGTGGAATGCCTGAAGCGCTATGGTGGGAGCCTCCTGAATCAAGCGCGCAGGTCGTGTTTGTGCTGGGCAGTGCCTCCAGCGCCGCGGCACTTTCAGCCCCCGCCAAGAATCAAGTGCTGCCCGGCTCAGTCAGCGCAAGCGCGTGCCCTGAGCACCCGCAGGCGTTGCTCGGAATTCAGTTGCATACAGATCGGGCGGCTACATCACTTTTGTAGGTTGATGATACTCAATTACCTGATAGATGATGGCCATCTGATGGCTGTACTCTGCCCAAGGCCGCATCCCTGGGAAGGCCGGGGTTTGGGGAGGTAGTGTGAAGAGGTGAGGGTCGCATGTGTCAGGGCGTGCGCTTTGCCGACACAGGGCAGTGCGGGCCATGCATGCTTCCATTCAACGCATTGTGAAGCGGCGGCACACCCGCGCCGGCAGCGGCGCCGCTCCCACGCAAGGTACAGCCTGCACAAGTGAGCCCAGCAGTGATGGCGCTGCCTGATTTTGCGCAGCCTCGAGCGAGCCTCCCTGCCTGCTGCTCTGCTATGCGAAGCGCCCGAGAGGAGTGGAAACCACTCAACAGCACATACACGCAGGCCTGCTGTGCAACTAGCGGCTGATCGTAGTCATACATGCGTACGTCGTCACCTGTCAGCATTTCCCACATGATGACGGCGAGGCTGTACACGTCACTCTTCTCGGACACCTTGTGGCCGGCCACGCCGCCCGCGGTGAAGCACTCGGGCGCCTGCACACACAATTATTTTTTGCCGATCGGATGCGATAGTGGTGACTGCTGGTTCTCAATCTTTTTGCTGCTGGCCGGGATGAAGGGCTGCCCAACTCGATACTGAGATGCAGGCAAGCCAGGGGGCGTGCATGGGTGGCGGCAGCCTGCGGCACCTGCTGTGGGGCCCGCTAGCTGCGGCAAAGGGACGCAACAAACAAGGGGTGCAGCCATCCCTGCACGACACAAGAGGGGATTTCAAGCAAGCAGCCCACCATGTAGGTGACTGTGCCGGCCTGTGATGCCGCTGTTGCCAGCTGTCACACAGCAGCCGCAGAGCGTTTGGTGGGTGCAGTGGGTGGGTGTAGTGGGTGGGTGCAGTGGTTGGGTGCGGTGGGTGGGTTCTGGTGGGAGACAGGGCGCCAGCATGTCGCGCAATGAGCCAGGTGTCTGATTGGGGGCGCAGGGTTGCTGCCAATGACGCATCCCAACAGTGTTGGGTGCAGGAAACGCAGCAGTGCAATGGGTGCAGCGGGCGGCTGGAGAAGCCCTCCTGGCACCCGCTGCCAGGCTGGGACCTGATGTTGTGCATGGCAAGCAGCTCCAGCAATTACTTTGCATAATTGCAGTCGGCTCGCGCGGCCCGCCCAGCAAAACCCAAAGCCGGGTCAAACCCCAGTTAAAACCAAGTCAAAACCCAGGCAAATTCCAGTCAAATACCGGTCAAAATCCAGTCAATTCCTGGTTGAATCCCGGTCAAACCCAGTCAAACCTCAAGCATCCGCTCACATATGTCTCCGCCTTCATCTGGCTGATGCCAAAGCTGCGGCATGGAGGGCAGGCAACAGCACGTGTGCGTGGTCTGACAAGGACAAGCAGCTTGTCGGTTTCATTGCTTGGCCAGCACAACGGCGCACTGCCGAGCAGCGATGCCACTCGCGGCAGCGCATTCGACATCTGCACAGGCCCACAGCTGCGAAATAGGTTCCCATCCGGGTCTATGCAGGCAGGGGGTGCCAGGCGGGGCGCTCACTCTGCAATCTTTGCAACACCTGATGTGCTGAGCAGCACGTTCTGCGGCTTGAGGTCCCTGCCAGGTGAAGAGGGGGAGTGGCAGCGCGCGGTGCACGCCGGGCATGTACGGGAGCAGCAAGGTAACGGAGCATTTGGATGGTCAGCAGTCGATCGTGCTGACGGCTTTTGTCGGTCCCAAGACCTTGTAGCAAGCCCATCTCAAGGGGAGCACTTGGTGGTCAAAATACGCTGCTTTGCTGCACTTGGCATGCACCGCAAGCCTTTGCACGTTCGCCCAGCTCGCAGCAGCCCTGCGTGTACACACGCCGAAACCACGCGCACACGCATGCCCCCTCGACGCCGCCGGCGCCGACGCGCCTGTGCACGATGGTGGGGTGCAGCAGGGCGAGGC